GAGCCTGCCAAGAGCCGCGCAGGGGGCATCACACCCCGGGAGGGAGGGACACACTCCCACAGGGACACGAACTGCTTCGTGTGCCTACCCTGCCCCGGTGTACCGCTCTGCAGGCGCTGAGAGCCTGTGCAGGCGCCAGGGGCTCAGGCTGTGCCAGCAGCTCGCGGATGGCTGCGTTTGGGCAGGATCCCAGCGGCAGCCTCAGCCCCAGGAACAGGTCACCGAGCCCTTGGCAAGAGCTGGATGGCTAGCAGCTCTGCCCCGGGGTGCGTGCCGGGAAGAACCTCCTTTTCCTCCCGGCTGTGCTCCCACAGCCAGTTGAGAAACAATAACTCTCTTTGCTCTTTCATAATCAACCCAAGAAACAGGGAAAATCCCAAATTTCAGCGCTAGTGTTAACAGTTCCTGTAACCCCCGTTTGGAGCACTTCCCCTTTGCTCCAGGGGTTTGCTCACCTCGGAGTGATGAAACCATCCCCTTGCCCAAGCTAACCCCGGAGCCGCGGTGGGGGCGAGGGAGCACGGGCTATAAATTGGCAGCTCCGGCACCACTCCCCATCCTACTGGTGAACCGGAGGAGCTGAGGCAAAATGAAGACTGTGGGACTGTCCCTGGGGCTGGCCCTGCTCTGCTTGCTGCGTGTGGAGGCTGAGGACTTCGAGGCTGTGGGACTGGACAAGGTGATCCATAGCATTCTAGGAAGGGGAGATGGGAGTGTGGCCTCTGGTCAGCGAGAGGGGCTGTAGAGCTGTTTTGGTACTGGGGACACTGTCGGCTTTGCTGTCACACCCAGGTGAGGGCAGTCACCCAGCTCCAGCATTGGTGTCCCAGAGGGGATTTCAGTGCCTGGTGGGGACATGGGTGTCCCATAGGCTGAGAGTGTCCTGGCTTGGTCCACGAGGAAGGGATTGCTCCTCTGAACTCACAGTCTTCCCTCATTGCCAGATTGCAGGGAGATGGCACATCACTGCTATGGCCTCCAACTCCGAGAGTTACCTCCGAAACAAGGACCAGCTGAAGATGGCCATGGCCAACATTGAGGTCCTGGAGGAAGGTGACCTGAAGGTGTCCTTTGCAATTCCCACGTAAGTCCCAAGTGCTTTCCTCCACAGGCTTCACTGACCAATCTTCTCCCTGGACCTTCACTGGTGGGTCTCCACCTGAGTGCACCCAGCAAAGACCTGGGCAGGGGTTGAACAGGACCACCAGGGGCTCAGCACAGCTGTGGGCACCCCTTCTTCAGAGGAGACTCAGGGCAGCACCAGCCACCACTAGTGCCACCAGAGAGAGTAGGACACTCCACTGCTCCCAGCAGGGATGCAGCAGGGTGATAAGGGACCCTATGATTAAAACTTCCCCAGCAGGACCAGCCTCATCCCAGAAGCTCAGAGCATGGGCAAAGGCATGGGGTGATCCCCAGGTGTCAGCTCTGTCCTTTGCCAGTCCAAGCACCCATTGCTCCAAGGGTGGTATCTGCCCCCTCCTGCCCTGGCTGCACCACTCCATCCCTGAACAGAGAGTCCCACATTTCAGGTGGGAAGGAGGGGAGCAGGGGAGGGGAAAGGGTCACTTCACCCCAGCTGGACATCCTTCACTGTTTTGCAGGCCAGGGAGATGTATGAAGTTTGAGTCGATCTACAAGCCAACAGGCAACCCGGGTGAATACCACAGCTCTGGTGAGTGGGGGGACCCGGACCCCAGGGCCAGGGGGAGGCACAGCCCACCGTTCCTGCCTGAAGCAGCTGGTTGTCCCTGGGGATGTGGCTCTCAGGACTGCCTGCCCCTCCTGGGTGGGATATCCCTCTGTGTGCAGGTGCTAGCTGCACCCCAGCGCTGGTCTATGTCAGGGCTGGGGATGCAGCAGTGTGACAGTCCCTCCCTCTGCAATAAACAGACCAAGCTGAAACTCTGGGGAAAAGCAGGTTCATTCTGCAAAGGGGCTGTGGATGGATGTTCCCAGGAGATGAAACAAGAGTGGTTTACCACCACCCCCAGCCCAAGTGCCACTCTGACACTGGCCAGCATGCAGTGACCATTCCCAGCCCTTCCTGCCCTCACCTCCCATCCCTCTGCTCTGCTGCAGTCTGTGGGCTCCCCCAGGCTTTCAGAGGAGCCTTAGCAAGAGGGAAAACCAGGATGGGGAGACACCGAGGAAAGACAGGCTGGGGGTGGGGGGGTGGGGGCTTCAGGCTCCTACAGCCCCTCTGCTGCTTGGGGAGTCCCAGGAAGAGGGAATTAATTTTTCTCCACATCCTTTTGCAGACAGAGGCAATAAGACGGCACAGCTTGTGGATACTGACGGCAAGACCTATGCAATTATCTTTGCCACCAAAGAGAAGGATGGGAAGACCTTGCACAT